CCACATAAGGTACTAGCCACATGCAAAGAATGAATGGAATCGGTCCACAGGATTCTGAAATATGACTCGAGACAGACTGGCACACGGACGGACGGACAGACAGACAGACTCAGGAACTCACGGACGGTCGGAGACATGTATCCTAACATGTATGATCTATGTACTAAATTTGAATGAAAACTGACAAAGCATGTCCAAAATACAACATTCTCAAAAAACAAGATGGCTGCCAGTTGGCCATCTTTGATCCAATTGTGAAATAAATCGTCATGGACATGTATCCTAACATGTATAATTTATGTACCAAGTTTGAATGAAAACTGACAAAGCATGTCCAAAATACAACGATTTCAAAAAACAAGATGGCTGCCAGTCGACCATCTTTGATTCAATTGTTAAATAAATTGTCATGGACATGTATCCTAACATGTATAATCTATGTACCAAGTTTGAATGAAAACTGACAAAGCATGTCCAAAATACAACATTTGCAAAAACAAGATGGCTGCCAGTCGGCCATTTTGAATCGAATCGCTAAACCACTGCATGTGCATATGTCCCAAATAAAGTACTAGGCACATGCAAAGAATGAACGGAATCGGTCCAAGGGATTCTGAGATACGACTCCGGACGGACGCACGGACGGACGGAGACCGAATTATAAGTCCCCGTTTTCGGACTTCGTCCGAACGGGGACTAATAAACTCTGGTCGACCTCATTAACATGATTTATTCACACACCCACACACATGACAAAATTACAACAATAACAATGATGCAACAAGTTCCCATCGTCGGCATGCCTCATTATGGTTATTGTAATGGACTCGAGGTCGGAAAAATGTTTTTTCTTCAACGACAGAAAAATAATCCTCATGACCATAATGCCATAGCTGTGATGAAGGATGGAAAGAAAGTAGCAAGTTTACGACGTGATGTCTCAAAAGTGCTAGCTTCGTTATGGATTCACAGTCAGCAAAATGCTACGTTTTGAAACAAGTAACTTTTGTGAAAACAGGTGGGTAGGCGCTTGCCCGGGGAGGGGCGCGTGCCCGGGGTAATATGGTACACACTTCATTGTCGAAGTGTAGTCTATGCAGCGTAGTCTACGCATACACAACATATTCATGGCAGTCCATATACACACTTCATTGACGAAGTGTAGTTTATGTAGCGTAGTCTACGCACACACAACATATCCACGGCAGTATTCAGAAAAGTCAAACAATGATCGAAGACCAAGTTTTATGAATAGACATTAAATTTATGGCATTTTGGTGGGGATTGGGCACTATGCCTGTCGAGTACGCTATATTTCCACTGTGTACTTTATTCAATTTTAACCAGCTTTCATTGTTCCGTGCATGGAAAAGCAGTACCGTTAAAATCTTATTATAAACCGCTGTTTATATTACAATGTATCAAATAAAAAATTGGGATCAACAGCTCAAGTTTGGGTTGCGGTTTCTATTGCGTACATATTGCAATCACTAAATGGACGTGGTCATTTTTTTTCCACATCACTTGCACAAAACAAACAATACACCGTACAATCTTTTGAATATAAGCTAACTCCAGATGTCAGGGAAGAGTGATAAGCGTCACGTCACAAAAAAACTGTTTACATGAAAAAAAAATATTCAGTATATTATATATATATATTTAGTCTAATATGCATTTATTTTTTTTAACTTTCTTCGTAACGGAAAGTATATTCTGACAGGAGTTTCAAATAAAAACAAGCACTAAAAAAGTACGGTACCGTGGGTTCGGTAATGCAATCCGGCCATGCTTCAGCTCACAAGTGAATAACTTACTTGTTTTCGAAGTGTTGAAATTGTTGATTATTACTCAGTAGTGATTATAATAACGCACGAAAAATAAATTCGTTGAATTGTTTTCAAATGCAAGTAAAATTCAACTTAGTTTCACCGTAAGCGAATTATTTCGGTCACATGTAAACGATCGATGCGATACAACATCCGCCATGTAGTTTGAATGCACACGAGACGTTACTTGACCAGATAGGTCGCTAATTAACCAATCAAAATGCCGGATGGTGCCCACGTGTTCAAATTACCTTGGTTCATTTAAATATGTTAATGACAGGTCACCGACTTCATGGTGAACGAAACCCGGAAGAGATTTACCGATAATATAGTGCGACCCTTTGGCTTTGATTTCCATGGGGAAAACGACATGACCTTTTCTTTTAAATCAAGGAATTACCGGATTCGGCTGATACCCCGCCCTGGGCGATCTTATGGAGGATTCGATTTTTTTTTCTGAAAACTGTGGACCAAAAAAATCGCCCGGGCGATCTTTTGGCAGATATTACGAGGCCCATCTTGTCTAAAAGAATAACCCTGCGTTGATAGAAATGGTCTAGAAAAAATAATGTTTCGCGTTGACCAAATATAATCATGCAAAGTATAAATTCAAAGTGTTTTAATACATTGGTGAGAGGTCGAATTTTACGTGAACAAGAACATGCACTAAGCAGGAAAAGCAAGTCAAAGTCGAAACGGGTGCATCATGGACATGACACACACACGCTGCAACAACCGAGTGATTAGCGACATAATTTTGGGACGCATTGAACTT